TGCTTTTCTAGTGACCTAGCGTTCCGCACTGCCGTTTGGCCAGCCCATGCTCCCGTACCGTTGCGTTTCTCCCCAATGCGCCATGCCACTTTGCCAGTCATACACACGTTTCGATGCGTGCCCTGTCAGCTGCTTGCGTTGCATGTCGCCTTGCTCCACCCCTGTTTTATTGCTTTCTCTGCTTTCGCCCGGTTCCCGTCCCGTTTCGGCGGGGAGTCTATGTTGCAAGCTAGTTCTTGCTTTACCAGACTTTAAGCCCACACACAAGCACAAGCAAGTCCGCGGTCAGTGATGTGTCCATCATGCATGCACTGGGCCACCAACCATCCATGGGTGCTCAAAGACAGCCCCAGGTGCGGCGAGCTGCGAGGTGGTGCTTGAGCACCCGCACGCGCATTTTATGCTGGCACAGCGCAGACCCCCGAGTCAGGCCTAGGGCTGTGCAGCGCTTGCGCCCTAACTTGCAGCAGCCCCTGGCGTGCGGATCGCCTCCCGCGGCGTCGCCCCGGCTAGCGGATTGTGCACAGGTCTGCGCGCAGATGCAAGATGCGGGGGGCCTGCGCGAGCCCCTACTCACGTGAAAACCATGTATGTGGGTCGGTTGTGAACTGTTCCGCCGAGCTCTGCAGGCCGGGCCTTTGATAAATGCGATGGTCCCGCCGCCGCGGCCAGGCATAGATCAGGAATGATGCCGGCACGAGCATCTTCGAGGACACGTCAGATCTGCATTCCATGCAGTAAGCAACAACATGGATTCATTTATCCTTCTAATCTGGATCTGGGCGGGAATCGCGTCTCCAACTGCCTCCCCAACGCGCGTCCCTTGAGCCTCACTTGAGTAGTTTCGGCGGCGCTTCCCGCGGCGCGTTTGAGTCCCTCCACCAGCCAATTGCGGCCTGTCGGGCACCAGGAGAACCCCCGAGGGACCCCAGACTGGCATGGCGGACCTGGAGAGGCAGGCTGTGGCAGGCGGCGCCGCGTTTGGCGTGCCAGCCGCCACGCTGAATGAAATCAACGAGGTGTGACGGCCAGGACGCGATCCGCAGGCCTCAGCTGTGCGCACACCTTAATTGCCAAACCTACCCACCGCCGCCACCGCCGCCGCCGCCTGCGCCGTGCAGCACAAGGACAACGAGGGCTGGGCGGCGCTGGGTGGCCTGCCGGGTGTGGCGGCGGCGCTGCATGTGTCCCTGCACGACGGTGTGAACCCTATCGCCACCGACGGCACCGACCTGGAGGCCCGCAGGTGGAGACTCTGCCTGCCCGCCTGTGCGGCTGACGCACACGCCACGCGTCCCAACTCGCGCCGCGTGCACATGGTCACGGATGGTGCATGGAATGCGCCTGCACCTGCGTATTCTTCTTTGGAACCCCATGGCACCGGCCCTGAGGCAGCGCACATGCGGGCGCGGGGCCTGCAGGCTGCCTGGCAGCTGCTTCCAGCATCCCACACGCTCGCTCACCCGGCGCGCCGGGCTGCGTGCAGGGCCGCCTTTGGTGCCAACATCTTCAAGGCCATCCCCCCCAAGAGCTTCTTCCGCCTGTGGTTCAACAACCTGAAGGACCCCACCCTGATCCTGCTGACGGCGGCGGCCCTGGTGAGCTGCTGGCGCCGCACCACACAGCCTCGGCAGTCTCTGCTGTTCTGCGTCTGCTATGCACACAAGGCGTCTCGTCGTGAGCCGCCTGTGGTATGCACATGCCGCTGCCGGCTGGAGGCAGGATGCATGCACATGTGCCCGCCACGGCGCCGTGCCCGAGCACGGGCCAGGAACCAGGCACACGCGTCAGCGCCAGCCGGGCTTGGCGGCTCCCTTCAGCCGTGCCGCTGGCTGCAGCATTGCCGCGCTGTGTGGCGCTGCGCTTGCCCCCGCACGCGGCGGCATGGGCAGATCGTCATCCAACCGAGGCGGTCGCTGCTGCAACCCACTCGCTGCAGGTATCGACTGTGCTGGGCGTGGCGGTGCCCAAGGAGCGCGAGGAGAGCGCGTGGTCGGAGGGCGTGGCCATCTGGGTGGCGGTACTGGTGGTGTCGCTGGTCGGTGAGCAGCCCGCGGCTCTGCCGCCACGCTGCCACCACGCCCCTGCTGCTCTGCCAGCATGCCCCTGTGCGCTTCTGCGCTGCGTGCCCGCGTCCGCTCACCCAGCATCCCACCCAACCTACCTCGCCCTCTTTGCGCCCGCAAGCGAGCCCACCCCCGCCCCTGCCCTCCTCCTCACCCCTCGTCCGCCCAACCTTCCCTCCCCCTGCCCACCCTTTCCCCACCCCCAGGCGCCTTCAACGATTGGAACAAGGACCGCCAGTTCCAGAAGCTCAACGCGCTCAAGGACATCATCGATGTCAAGGTGCTGCGCGGCGGGCAGCAGCTGACGGTGGCCAACACGGAGCTGGTGGTGGGCGACGTGGTGCTGCTGGAGGCGGGTGACAAGATCGTGGCGGACGGGTACACGATTGAGGTGGGCTGGGGGAGGAGCTGGGGGGTGGTAAGGGGCGGCAAGCAGGCTGGGCAGCAGGAGGGAGCTGGGGGGTGGTCAGGGGTAGCAGGCAGGCTGGGGACGAGGTGGTTGGGTGGGTGGCGGCAGGGGCCCCGTGTATTGCAGCAGGCGGCTGCCCGGTTGAGTTGGGCTGGGGGTGGGGAGGTGGTGGTGGGCTGATGTGCCGGATGGGGAGGCAGGGGAAAAGCATGCGCGCGGAGAGTGGCAGGCAGGCTCGGCCGGCAGCTGCATTTGGGGCGGGCCCACCAAGCCTGCCAGCACCCCGGCCGCCGCCGTACCCTGTGGAAACAAGGTTGGTCGCACACAACACACCCCTCTGGCCTGTGCAGGTGCACGGCCTGGTGGTGGATGAGGCCTCGCTGACCGGAGAGAGCGACCCCGTGAAGAAAGGAGGAGACAGGCACGAGCCCTGGGTGCGGTCCGGCACGCAGGTAAGCACACGCACGCCGCAGGGAGCGGCGGCGCGGCAGCAGGCACCAGGCCATTGGCTGCAGCGCAGCAGGGCAGTGGGCACGCATGGGCATTGGGCATGAAGGGCTGCGCAGGCGCAGCTGTTGCGTTAGCCGCTGCTCCCGTCTAAGCCACTGGCGCTGCCGCTGCTGCACTGCAAATGAGGTTTACCGTGGCCCAACCGTCCCTGCCACCCGCACCGGCGCAGGTCACTGAGGGCAGCGGGCGCATGCTGGTGATTGCGGTGGGCGAGCAGAGCGAGTGGGGTCGCACCATGGCGCTGGTGGTGGGGGAGGCGGCTGAGACGCCGCTACAGGAGAAGCTGGGCTGGCTGGCCACCGCAATCGGCAAGCTGGGCTTCATCGTGGCCGTCGTCTGCTTCGTGGTGCTGCTCATCCGGTGAGGAGGACCCTGGGGCTGGGGCGTGCAGGGAGGCAGGCAGGCAGGGGGAGGGCGCTGGGGAGCAGGGCCGCGCTGCTGCCGCTCGCCGGATGCGTGCACATGCACGCGAGCACACGCCGCCGCAGCCCAGTCTGCGAAGCTTGCCGCTTGCCTTGCCCGCCACCCACCACCACCACCACCACACTGCGACCGCCACATCTTTGAGGGTTCATTCTGACACGCGCCGTCCTCGCTCACTTGCACCCTTACCCTCCCCGCAGCTGGTGCATCACCGAGGGCGGTTTCCCCCTGGACAAGTTCTCGGAGGGCCCCCTCCAGTTCTTCATCTTCTCTGTCACCATCCTGGTGGGCTGCCGGCGCTCACCCTCCGCCTGCCAGCCAGCCAGCCAGCCATAGAGCCGTCCTGCCTGCCTGCCAGGGCTGTGCTTCCTTGCTGGCAGCCCTACGCAGACGGCCAGGGGCCGGGCCGCGGGTCAGCTCTGCCTCGCACTCCTGCACCAGAACGGCCTGCCGGCCTGCCGGGCAGGCGACACATGCAGCAGGCTGCGCCAGGCAGCCAGCAGCAGCCAGGCAGCCAGCCGAGCGCTGGCATGTGGGGTGGCTCCTGGCGCGGCGCCGGCGCTCACTCTTTTGTTCCCTGCCCCTCAGGTGGTGGCTGTGCCCGAGGGCCTGCCCCTGGCGGTCACCATCTCGCTGGCCTACTCGATGAAGAAGATGATGAAGGACAACAACTTTGTGCGCGTGATGGCGGCCTGCGAGACCATGGTGCGGCGCGGGCGGGCGCCTGCTGTGCACGGCGTGGTCACTGGTGCTTGGGCCTGCTTGGCGCTGCCTGGCACGCGGCCCCTGAGGATGGGCAGGGCAGATGATGACGCCTCATCCCTGGGAAATTTGAAGGTGGTTGCTGGCTGTGAGTTTTTTTGATTGCGCCGCCGACCACCGACGATGCGCTCCTCCGCTGTCCCCGCTTGCCTGCCCTGCAGGGCGGCGCCACAGCCATCTGCTCCGACAAGACCGGTGCGCCTGCTGAGGACCGCGCTCACATGCGGCCACGACCAGCTTCTCCAGCCGACGCGTACTTTATCCAGGCCATTGCCACTCTGCTCACCTTCATTTTTTACCCTGTTTCGTCGCTTGCGTTCTTCCTCGCGCAGGCACCCTGACCGAGAACCGCATGACGGTGGTGGCCGGCTACTTCTGCGGCAAGATGTACAAGGAGGTGCCCTCGCTCAAGGAGCTGCCGGGAGAGGCGGGCGAGGAGATTGCGCTGAACGCGGCCCTCAACTCCAAGGTGGGCTGGCGTGTGTGGGGCGTGGCGGCGGGCAGCTCTCGGCTGGCTGCTGCGGTGGGCTCGCCGATGCCGCGCAGCTCCTCGCCAGCTCCTGCTTGCTTGCCCTCCTCCCTGACCGCTGCCCCCCCTGCCTGCCTCCTTGCCCTGCCTCCTCTGCAGGCCTTTCTGGTGGAGGAGGAGGAGGGCAAGGTTGAGTTTGTGGGCAACCGCACCGAGTGCGCGCTGCTGATGATGGTGCGCGCCTGGGGGCTGAGCTACTCCGAGCTGCGGGAGCTCAACCACACCAAGATCGTGGGTGAGCGAGTGGGTGGCGTTGGGCGCCTCCTGTGTGGCGTGCTGCGGTGCATTTACCCTCTGCTGGAGGTGTGGTGGTGGTGCTGCTGGGTGGTTGGAGGCGGGGCAGCGGCGCACAATCTGCAGTGCAGGGGTGCAGCCAAGGGGTCGCGTGGTGCTCGCCAGTGTGTGGAAGTGGCGTGAAGACGCCGGC